ACTGCACCAACACACGGTGGCGGCGCCGTTAGTTTTCGAGCTCCTTCGCACGATCATTGAATCTGTGCCTCCTATAGTGACCGCAGATAACTATGAGTCTGCTGTCGGTCTTGCGAATGATTTCATAAGCGCTGGTAGGGTGGGTTACATTGAAGAACGACAGAGGGATGCAACATCTCGGCGCTCTAAGGGCGTCAAGCCATCAAAGCCAAGGTTCGTCTATTTTTCCCGAGTGAAATTAATGCCTCAAGTGGTAGCTAATCAAAGCTTGCAGTGAAAACGAGGTCGTTGCTCGCGGTGTCAAAGCCGTTGGTCTCATCTATCACCTGACGAATCGGGTTCCGACCCTCATTAAGCAGTCTCATCTTGAGGAGCGTGAAGGTACGTATGAAGCGTGTCTAGTCGGAGCAGAACAGGCCATTAACTTTGATAATGCCGTAGCTTGGTCAGCCTACTGGTCACCCGTTTTCCAGTCTCTGAGTGCACAGTGCATTAACCCTTGCCGGGATATCCGGCATCATGCGGTTTCCACTCTGCAAAGATGCCTTCTCTCTGTTCACATTGATTCGACCGATGATAAGGAATGGGCCGCTATCTTTGACCAGGTCCTCTTCCCACTTATTCTCTTGTTACTGAAACCCGAGGTCTACCATTCCGATCCACTTGGTATGAGTGAAACTCGCGTTCAAGCAGCAACACTGGTTTGCAAAATCTTCCTACGCTATCTCGACCAGCTTCCGAACCGGGAAGGCATGCTAGATCTCTGGCTGAAGATTCTGGATATCCTTGACCGTATGATGAACAGCGGTCAGGGAGATAGCTTGGTACGTGGGGTTGCACTCCTTGAGCTATCGACAAACGGATACACTAACTACCTTCGACAGGCGGAGGCAATTCCCGAAAGTCTCAAAAACATTCTTCTAGTAATGGCGGATGGCGGACACTTGGTACCGCCGTCTCAAGATCCCAGCAAGGAAGCAATCTGGACGGAAACCAAGAAACGTCTGGAGCGATTCCTCCCAGACTTGTTCAAGGAGATTTTCCCTGAAGACTTAAACGAAAAGCCCGCTGCACTCTCCGCGGTCTCGTCTCCTATCTCTCCTTCTCACGACAACCCCAACGCCACCGATGCAAACGTTGGAGAGGCTCAGCCAGTGCCTGGACAGTCAGAAAATGAAGGCGAAGCCATAGAGCCTGAAACCAAGACCGACTAACGGGGGAGCGTCCCGTCGATCGACTCTATTCTCATTTTACCACTTCGAGCATTTATAGCGTGGGTAGCTACTTCGTCGTCTCCCTCTTGTATACATGTAAATATAACGATCATTCGACCAACAATGTCCCGGGAATGTTGGAGCAGTCCTACCTAGAATTCATTGACTGCTCCTCCCTACGAAGTCTCCCTTTGATAGACATAATAATCTATGTTCTCACTTATAGTCCCAATGAGGCCTCGTTGTAGAGTGAGATGTGGATTGAAACAGAACGACCATCTATACACACAAAAGAAAAGTATAGTTGCCATCTAGAAGCGGTATCACGCCCCATTTGGGTGGAAACAAGAACAAAGGAAACTAGGTAGTATGACAGAGACGTATGTGGTTGGTTCAGATCCATTGTCCACAAATATTTCGACAGAAAGGCAGAACCAACGACAGACGGATATCGCAAACGAGAAAGACCTTACTTGAGGAATGAGCGAGTGACATTCATGTACGTAGGTATGTATGCGACTTGTAGCGCGGAATGAATTTCTAAGGAGAAAGGTGCGTGCAACCTTTGCAAGATAGCGATGTCGAATGCCGGCGGCGGGAGACAGAGACATGAAATAAATGTGAAACGAAAAAAAGACTATTCGGCATCCATATCATCATCAAGATCAATAGCGTCCGGGTTGACCGGCGCAGAGGGCTGCGGCTGCTGCTGACCTGGCGGAGGGGGACGGTTGCCGCCCTCGGGTCCGGTGCTGGCGGCAACGAAGCCGACGGGGGCGCGAGCTTGCCGTTCTAGGGCTGCCATGGCGTCTGCACGCTCCTTGGAGGCATCCATGTCTGCTTCCTCGCCTTCCCTCTCCTTGCCGCCTTCCTGGGCGCGTTGCTGGCTGCGGGCGATTGCTTGGGAAGCAATGAAGTTGACATCGGTGCTGTTTTGATAGAATATTAGTATTTTTCAAATTTCATGAGTTGGTCAGGATCGACATACTTGTACTGCGCCTGGACGCTTCGCTTGATACGAAGCATCTCTTTGAAGGTATCTTCGTTTCCGTGTTGGACTTCGAATGCCTCCCACTTTTGCCAGAAGCCGGCGTTGGTACGTGGGTCGCAGAACTGAGAAGCATGGCCGTAGATCGCACGTGCGCGATCGATTTCGCCCAGTCTCCTTTCCATCTCCGCGAACTTGAGGCACATCTCTTTGGCTTCCTGGTCTGGCAAGGCCGCAATGGCGCGTTCATAGATAGGCCTCGTGGATGTCAAACCGAAGTTGGAGGCAGATTTGGTGATGTAGAACTCGAACATTTCAAATCTGTCCTCGTCGGAAACTGCCCGAGTTGCACGCTCATATATTCTCATTGCGTGTCGGGCCAAACCGCGTTCTTCTTCGAGGTTGCCGTACATCAGATACAATGGCTTTGCGAACTTCGGTGGACATCCGTCGAGAGCCTGTTCGAAGAGGTCTCTCAATCTTTCAATACCAATCTTCCGATCCACTGCCTTGGTGAGATAAAGGTTCCAGAGCTCAAAAGCGACCGGATAGCTGAAGAGATCCAGGCCTCTTTCGTACACTTTGAAGGAATCCTCAAAGTATTTATGCTCTTCCAGTAGGTTGGCATAGTTGACCACAGTCTGGGGTGTTGCGATGCGCAATTCAAAAATCCTCTCATATACCTTCCTCGTCTCTTCCAAGGTTGCAACACTCTCGACTAGATCGACATAGAAACTCCAAAGCTTCCAACTCTTATGAACGCGCTGCTGAGGCGAGAGACTTTCGTCGAAATAGTCCACTGTAGACTTCTTTGGCGCCTGCGTAGCTTTGGCCATGATATCGACGGCCTTATCGAAATTCTCACTTCGAAGTTCCATCTCAGCCCATTCGCACCATGTCTCTGCTAATTCGGCGACAGATTTGAAGGGAACCTTGACAGCCTTGTCGAAAATAACTCGGGCAGTGTCCAAATCTCCACCGCTCTCGTAGAACTTGGCGTAGTTGACCCAGAGTTCAGAAAACTTCCCATGAGCTTTCTTCGGGTTGATAGCAGCGATGGCGGCGGTATATGTGTTGACAATTTCTTCTTTGTTGTCACCCCACAGAGCCACCCTCTTCTCCCATTCAATGACATTGTTGGGATTTTGCCTTAGCAAGACATCGTTGACAAGGAACGGCCGGCGATCCATAAGTTGTTCAAATCTCAGCATTCGTAGATCGAGATCAAAATCAGCGTCTTCGTCAACATTTCCTTTATCAGCCCGGACCGCTGCGGCCTCCATCAAGCTTCCAATGATCGATTCTTCAAATTCGACATAGGCGTCGAATATCAGGGTGAAGTCGCGGACGGTCATGACGGTGGTAATACCTTCTTCGAACACATCGCGCGCTTTCTCGAAATTACCCTTCGTGATCCAATAAGTCGCCAACCCAGCCCAGAGCTTCCCTCTCTGATCCGCAAACCGATCAATTCCACTCCGAAGGATGGCATCAACGTCGATGCCGACTTGCGGACCGGTCTGAATCTGCTTCGCTTTAGAGACGAGCAGATCTACCATCTCAGTCCAAAGCTGAAAGTTGCTCTTTCCTTTCTTCGACTGAAATCTCGGGTTGTCCAGGATTTCCATGTAGCGCTTGACAGCTTCGGTATATTGACCCAGTTCAACGAGCAACTCGATATAATCTTCAGCATTCTCCGGGTGAATTTGCATATAACGAGCCCATATCTTCACAGCTGTTTGTCCAGATGCTGAGCGCGCAAAGGCTTTGTATAATTTCCAGATCCGGTTGTGCTGGGTTATCGGTAGCGCACGAAGCGCGCGGTCGAATGTCCTCCGAGTCTGTGTTACCAATGGCTGTTGTAGCAAGAACGAGAGATACATCTCCCAGATTTTTGGCATCTTATTCAGCAGTATGAGGGCTCGTTCGAAGAGCGCGTTCACCTTCTGATATTCACCCCGGTATTTTGTCGCATTACGACCCCGAAGGTGGTTTATTCGAAACTCCAGATACTTTAAACAGTCAGCAAAATCATACATTGCTCATGTTTCAGAAATTTATCTGAAGAAAGCGACCCAAAAAAAAAAAGCCGGGTTGACATACCATTTTCCAAAGCTTGTATGATCTGGGAAGCTGTTTACAGGCACGCTCCATAACCTAAAACAATCTATCAGCATGTAATCTCAAAGAAAATGGCGGAGAAATCCTACAAAGGCCTGCTCGTAGAGTGTCCCATTCTGCTGTTTGTACTCAATGTAGGCGAGCCATGGTTTGATGCTGCCAGGAGCCCGAAGAAGATCCTGTTCATAGACAGTGTCCTGATCGGCCTATGCGCAAGTACAGTGTCAGCATCCACAATTGCAATGCTCAATTCATGCTTAGCACTTACAATCAGGTAAAGGTCTGGCCCTGAGGCAGACGTTCGGTCCATCTGTGCGTGTTGCCGGTTAGATCTCGAGGGCAGGAGGGTCCCTGGCATTTCGCCACTCGTTCGAGCGGGACCAGCTCGCACGGTCAACACAGGGTCAGAAAAAGGGAGAGTCGCATGAACTGGAGAGCTTCTTGTGTTCCTTGTCGCGTTGACCAGCAGAGATCAAGCGCCGCAGAACGTGAAGTTGGACGGGAACACGTGACCTTCTGTCATGCCGCAGCCAGGCGGGCAGAAGTGGCCCAAGCTTCTCCCTCTATCGCGCTGCGTATCATCGTGCCAATGAGAGGCCCAAGCAATGCGCTCTGCTCTTCCGTGGTAGTAACATCTATTTTGAGCATCATTACTTTTATTTAATCATTTCCCAGCCATGTCGGGTGCAGTGGTATGTGTCTTCTCTTTGTCTGATCCGCTTTACGATCTGGCTGATTGATATGCTTGTCCTTATCAGGGCCGCGAGCCAGTCTTCCCGACCCGCCAGTCGCTGGGGTTAATGAAGAGTAAGCTGAAGGGTGCGGAGACTGGTCACAGCTTATTAAAACGAAAGAGTGAAGCCCTCACGAAGTAAGCCTGCTATTACTGCCTTGAAATCTATCTCACTTGCTGATATATCCGTCCAACTGCAGGCGTTTCCGGGGTAAGACAGCTTCCCCGACAAGATAGCACACCACGCCGCCATTTCTCGAAGCTGACGCCGTATACTAGAGATCACCCGACGCATCGATGAAGCGAAACAGAAGATGGGACGGGTAATGCAAATCGCTGCATTCTCCCTTGCTGAAGTGAGCTACGCTGTTGGTGGAGATATCGGCTACCAAGTTCAAGAATCGGCCAAGCAAGCACGGTTCCGAGTACGGGCCAAACAAGAGAATGTCTCCGGTGTCTTCCTACCGCAGTTTGAGAGTTACACAGAGGAAGGGATCAATGACTTTGGCTTGACTGGTCTCGGAAAGGGAGGTCAACAGGTCCAGCGGTGTCGGGAGACTTATGCTCGAGCAGTGGAGACATTAGTGGAACTTGCAAGTCTACAGGTACTGGATCTCTACATGTGCTAGAGCTCATTCGTCTCTAACTGGCAGTATTTAGACTGCGTTTGTGATCTTAGACGAGGTCATCAAAGTTGTGAATCGACGAGGTGAGTCTAATCCGCGTCCGCCCATGATGGCGCTGAAACGCTGACCAAGACCATAGTGAATGCGATGTACGATTTGCACCTGAACGTAGATCGAATTTACAGGCTAACCTTTTGATTAGTGAGCACGTCATTATTCCTCGAACAGAGAACACTATAAAATGTAAGTAACCCTACAAGCTCATTATCTCTCCGATTTCTGACCAGGTCCAAGATATCAATTCGGAACTCGATGAACTGGACAGAGAGGAGTTCTACCGATTGAAGAAGGTTTCAAACAAGAAGCAGCGGGATAGCGCCGCCGCTGATGCCGAGATTGTAGCTGCTAGGGAAAAGGAGGCTGCGGACAAGCGGGCCGCTGAAGTCGAGGCGGTGCCAGAAGCCCCAGACGTTCTGGGGGAGAATGAAGACGCCGATGTCATTTTCTAGAGTGTCTGCTTTTTTCCTTGAGCAATGTATATTCCTTCAAGCATGTTTTGTTCATCGCTCTACATTTAGTTTTCATCTATCTCATATTATGAGGGTATCACTCAGACACAGGAGGCCAGAGTGAAATGCGGCTTCCGCGGATGAATACACATCATTTTCTCCATGATCAAAACCAAAAAATTACAAATAGTAATGAAAACAGCCTTCCTAACGCCAGAACAAGTGTTGAACCCGATGCCCAAGGCCGCTCGAAAATGAGTAGTTCACTGTCTTTGGTAGGTGACGCGGATAGGCTTGCCATTGTCCCCCATAGGCATGTTCGCCGTAGCCTCCTTCGCGCTGATAGCACCAGACTCGTTCTCGTACTCGACAAAGGCGATCCCTTTTCGGCCAGGAACCAATCTGACTTCCTGGAATCCTTCGAACCGACCAAATATAGCGGTAAGGCTCTCTTGGTCGGCGGTGTCGGGCAAGTCCCGCAGGAAAAGAATCTTGTTGGGAGGAAGGTACTCGTCGGGGATGACCGCTGCCGCTGCACCGCTGGTCGGTTTGAGGCCCGCGCCCTTGACTGCCTTGGCTGGACGCGCTGTCTCGGCAGGGCCGGGGGGACGCTTGAGCTTCTTCTGGGCTTCCAGAGCTTCGTGGGCTTGTTTGCGCTCTTTAGGAACAAACTCAGTTAGCGGACGGACATACCCCAATATCAAAAGGAATAGGCAAGAGTTGAAGGGTAAAAAAAAGGCCAAGAAGGACTCACCCTTCTCTGCTAACCGCCTCCGCTTATGGACTTCAAGCTCTTCTGTCCCGCCCTCTCGCATAACGGTTGCATCGCTCTTCGTTTTCGCATAATCAAGGACCATCGGCTTGTCGAAGAGCTCGAACCCGTTGACCTCCTCGATTGCGCGGGTCGCGGATTCGACGTTGTCAAAGACAATGAACGCCTGGCCTTTGGCCTTCAGGTTGGTCTTCGCGACGATCTCCACGATATTGCCATACTCGGAGAAGATTTCTTCCAGTGCTACTTTGAGCTGGTCGACCTTGATGCGTTCTTCTAAGTTACGGACCTATTTTTGTCAGAGATGTTAGATGCGCTTTTCATTCGTTGTAGCATGCGGACGAGGGGGACACACATAGACACTGCGGAGCGTAGCTTTGGTTAGCACAATGTAGCTTCCAAGGATTGGATAAGTCAATGGCAACTCACGTAGGATTAGGGGGAAGAGAGGAATTAGTCGCTGGTACTGCGGCCATGGTTGCGACCGCTGAGCCCTTGTCGTGAGCTTGAATGTTTCAACTACTGACTTTCTGTATCGACCTTCGGAACTTGCATTTGATCTGAGATAGCTTACTTCGTTTTTATATTAGGCTATGTTAAAATTAATTCCCTGTTAGGCATATAGTAGCATCATTGGTCTAGTGGTAGAATTCGTCGTTGCCATCGACGAGGCCCGTGTTCGATTCACGGATGATGCACTTTATTTTCTTTTTTGCCCTCGGCGCTGATCAGCTTCCGCTCGTTCACTCCCTTGTCCCGGACTCTCGATGTTCGTTCATTATCGCTTTGAGCACCCAGCGATCATCATAAAGGTATATTTACAGTTCTATTTATCATTCACAGTCACAACGTCGCCCGCAAATTCTCGACTTGGCCCTTGAGTTGCTTTGGGGGCTTGGTCCAATCCTCGTCCCTCACAAGGTCTGACCCCGTCTCCATGAATAGGTAGTCTGCTACGCTTGAACGGATCTACAGTCGGTCAGTATAAACGCCCATGTCGAAAAGGGTCACACTACATACCCTTGGAAACGGATGCAAGAGCATTCCGACCATCTTCTTCAGGACGTCTGTCCTTAGATGTTCCAACCGACACAGAGGAGCGTAGACTCTGATTGCAGCTTCGAGCCTTGCCATATTCGTGGTCTTAAAGTGTGCCTTTTGCACAAGTACGAAGAGCTTTCGGAAACTACATCAAAGTCAGCCGATTTCTGCCAAGCTATTTCTGCCAATAACGCACCTTGATTCAGACTCTTCAGGCACGGAGGAGACATAACCATCCACGAGAAAGGCTGCAAATTCCATTGACGGTATGGCGTAGCGGTCATCGTGCAGATTATCGCTCAATATGACTCCAAGGTCCTTCAAAATGGCGCACGCTTCGATCTGCTGCTCCGTCCCACTGTAGCTGCCGAGACTCTGCACAAGTGCTAGGCGAGTAGAACGGACGAGCCCTTCAGCACCCGCAACAGCAGATGTTGCCAATCCCTGAAACAATGGTAAGCGTAGCCAATCGATCGCTTGCAGCCGAAGTAACTGAACGAAGTATTCGGTCGAAGACACATGGCTGAAATGGTCATATTTTCTGCCTCAGTCAGCATAGGTACTACCGCTTCAATCATTCTTTCTCTTACTTCTGTAACGGCGGAAAGTCTTCGGCCGACGACCAGAATTCCTGTAGAGAAATCCAAGCTTGTAGCCGGACTTTGTCCAACTTTTCTGCAGCAAGCCGGCAAAGACAGCCCACTATATTCTGAGCATAGATAGAGCGGGATTCTGGACGAGATTGATGTTGAAGGATAAACTTTGCCGCTTGAATTGCCTCCAGTCTCAGCAAGGACCCAACATCGCCTCGCCTGTCGGTTGTATAGTCATTCAGGAATCTGATGATATGATTCGCAATATCCTCCGTGATAGCTGCCTTGCAGTCAGCAGATTGACGCATTTGATGTACGTTAAACTCACCGATATAGGGCAAAACCCCTGTAGTCAGGCTTTTGACCGCTACTACCCTCTTCTCGATCAACTCCTCCTTATCAGTGCAGTGAAGCAATGTCTCGATCACAGACTGTTTCAGACTATTGATGGGTTCAAGTTGCCTGAACACCGCCCCTAGAACCGAGATCTGTCCTCTGCCCGTCGGCAGCTTCCAGGTAGCGCGAATGTGTGCGAACCAATCTTGGATCGTTTCTTCCTGTTTAGACGACGATAGAAGAGGGAAGAACTCGGATACAGCTTCAGACGATGCTCCTATAGCAACCTCTTCACTCCGGGATAAACATAGCAAGAGGGTCTCATGTGCTCTGTCCAGTGAAGAAGACGATGGCTGAGAACAAGTAGGCTCATTTCCTTGGGTAACTGATTGGGAAAGCGAACGAATCAAGCGCGATGAGGCTTCAGCTGTCAATTCCGGTCGAGAGATTTGGAGTGTTAGGTCATCCTTGGTAGGGCCGACTGCTGAGCTAAAAATGTCCCAGAGGTCGGTAACTTGTTGGGCAACGAGAATGGCTTCGGATTGCTCCTTGCTGTCACTCGCTGTGGCTTTGTGTGCATTAAAGGCATCTACTGTGGCGGAAATAGACAGCAAACAGCCATGTCTCGCTTCGACGTCCCCGCGAGGAAGACTCGATAGCTTATGCCGTAATCGATGAAGCACTACGCTAATCGTCTTGTACGATTCGTGGATACTGAGTTCTCCGATTGCTTTTGCGGCCTGTCTTCTGGACTCAGCATCAGGAGATGCGATTCCTCGCCAGCCCAGGAGAGATTCCACAAGTGGACTCCAGTAATGGTGACTTAGTGCAGCGGTGGCTTTCGCAACGTCAATCATCGCTCGTGATCGCCTCGCAACTGCATGATAATCCACCACCTGGACTAATGAAATCCCCTCGGCAATGGTGTTGGGATGGCGGCCAATCAGCTCCTGTAGAGCAGCAGAGGCGCCTCTTCGAATATTGCCTGAAGGATCCATACAAGCGGCACATACTAATTCTGTTGCCAGCATCTGCAGGATGCTCTTTTCATCCTGGCGCGAGGGGGTGCTTATCGTTTGCGTGTTCAAGGTCAACAGTTCTTGGGTCGTGTATTTGCGAGAAATTGCCCATATTCCGAAACACGAAGCATCTCGAACACCGGTGCCTACCGAGCTTCCCGTAGACGATCGTTGTTCAAAATCGAGACCGGAGATTAGCGGCTGCAGTACATGTGGAAGTTGATGGGTTGGAGGAGCGCGTCGAAAGAGTAAATGCCCCAGTGTTAGTATCAACCCTTGCCACCTTTGCGCATCTACCGCATTCAGGTTTCGCTTAAGTAGATGCAACCCGGTCTTTCGCGCTTCGAACGGTGCGACAATTGTGCCACCCGGCTTCTCGTAAAGTATATTCTCTTCTAGGGAGCCAGTGACAGCCTCGATGACTTCGGACGCCATGTCAGAGTCCAACTTTAGAGTAATGATACTGAGTGCTTTGCTTGCGGCGAAGCGGACAGGTGTATCCTTGTCGGCGAGAGACATCAACAAATGATCGATTGTATCTTCCAGAATCGAAGAAACTTTGTCCTCTGGAATTGGGCTCTTTGGTTTTTCGCTAAGTGACAGTGCCATGCCTGTCACATTTCGCAGAATCTTGATGATAGTCTTGCGAGCAAGAGCAGACGAAGTGATGATCTCAGATACACCCGTTCGCTCCTGTGCAATATGCAGAGTGCGTTCAAAGATGGGAATGATCAAGGGCGCAAACTCATCCACCTGCCCCGAAGCGCCCAATCGCCCCAGAAAAGACAAAACACCTATACAAGTGTAGACAGAAGGAAGCTCTTCGCTTTTTCCAGGATCCAAGACAGCAAACGCCCATTCTGTAATATTAGTCAGGAGCCCAAGGGCTTGCATGTCCCGCCGCAGAACCAGCCGCGCAAGCAAAAGAGTCGCAGCCTCCCGTTCTTTACCAGGGACATTGACATATTTCAGCGCCACCGAAAGTAGAGACTTTGCTACCATTGGCGCATGCGCCGGTAAAGGCTTGATTTTACCCAGATTGTCGAACGGTACTGGGATATCATCCGAGGACAAGGAGGAAAGGTCAAAGGGGGCGAGCAATAAATGCGAAAGCCAGATCAGCATCACGTAGCGCTCCTCCCAAACTAACTGTCGCGGATTTTCCCCATAAGATTCACCCACAGCGAGTGCATCCCACTCGATGAACGCCCGCAACATAGGATCAAGGTACTTGGGCTCATTGTTCAAAAAGCGACTGATAACTTTGACCCCGCGGACCTTGCAAAAGGTATAGAGAAGCCGACAGATGGCCCTTGGCAAGGTATACAGTACCTGGTGCTCAGACTTGGGGGCTTTAGAGCCATATTGGTCACGATACTTGACCAGGTAGGCAAGGAAGGCATCCACCAGAGGAGGCAGAAGCGCCTGCAGATGCGGGTCTAGCAGCTGCGGCCATTCTTGAAAAGGCTCAAGCTGTAGAGTAACACTGAGTAAGTTATATCAACGATGCTGAGAGAATGAATGCTCTTACAAGGTTTATAAGTCTCTCTGCCTTGGCAGCCTGCGTCCATCTTCGTGGGACTCGAATACTCTGTCTTTCCTCATTCCGCGGTTTCCAGAGTAGAGATGGCAGCTTGGCGGAGAATTCTCTGACCAAGTCACCAGAAGCTCTCTGTAACTTGATCTCCCTATCGTCACCTTCATCCATGATGAAACTTTGCACCTTTAGTGGATTTGTGCCCCTGCGACTCTGTAATCAACAAACAGCGGGGAGATATTGGCCTTGGTCACGTGATATATACTGGGTATGTCAATTTCGGACAGATACAGCACGATTTGATCTCAACAGAGAAGCAATATGGCAGAGCAAACGCTACTCGAATGGGAATCTCTAAATGTTTGCTAAGTATGGTTGGCAATACTATTACGAAGTAGATTATAGATGCTTTGACTCAGCCATGTGACTTGCAGACAGCTGCTGTCATAGTGTGCCAATTCCCGGTCAGAGCCTAAGGCCTGCGAGCCAAAGCAATGCAGCTAAAAAGAAGGTTCTCTCCTCCTCCATCCGCGTTCAACTTGATGATCCTCTTGATGCCCATGTCAAGCGCTCGCGGACTGAGAACGTCCTCGTCGTCCGCAAGCCTTCCTCTCTCCAAAGGACCCTTCCTCGACCCTTCAAGCTCCCAGAGCTTCCCACCGCTCTTGACAAAACTCACAAAATGCCCACCATTACGCTCATCCGTCGGATCGGCATAGCTGTCGCCGGCCTGTTCGACCGACTTGTGAGCAAGTTCGAATGGCTCGCTGTTGTACAGCAATTCGGCGCGTTTGGTCATATCCAGCGGTATGGCGAGGCTTCGTATCGCCGCGAGATCGGAATCAGGCTTGATAAAGTCGACGGCCGGACCGTTGATCACGCTATGGAGCAGGCCGATTGAGCCGCAGGCGTGGCCGATGGTCTGCTTGAACCAGATGACCGGCTCGTCAGGGCCGGAGCCAGTGTAGGGTTCTTTGTTAGCGTCTTCGGCCTCGCGACTTCGATCCCAAGCTGGTGTAAGTGGAATGATGGCCAGTAGAGCCAGGGCAGGTCGAGGGATATGTGCGAGTTGTTGGGGTTCATCCAGGGAATAGACGTCGTAGAACTGGAGCTCAGATGATAGACCCAACTTCGTTGCCAATTTGTTCATTACATCGGGGTTGTTCTCTGCCATTTGCAATGAGTTTCTACTCAAAGACAAGTGGTCTATAAGGGCTTAGGTCCCTTACCAAGCATTACCCATGTCTTCTTTTCCATTTTGGGAATCAATAGAACGAGGACGTCGAAAAGTCAGAAATGTTGGTGTGAAACAGAGAGCTTAACAGTATGTAGAATGCATGTATGGGAGGATGTAAGCTGACCTTTACAGGAAGGGGGGAAGCTGACCTTGTTATAAGCACCCCCTCCTACACCATGAAGTTGCTTATAGTCCTAGTAGTCTACAAAACCTAAATGCCACCTTCCATCCTTATTAAATAGTAGTAGTTAGTGTTATCCTTAACTCATAGAGCCAAAGTATCAAAATAATCATGTCATCCTTAATTACAGTCTCAGTGTCCTTGAAGAGCATGCTGGATGTCTTCTGTTCAACTAACAAGATTACACCAGTATCAATGGTAAAGCTGGCGTTCGCAACGGAAAAGAAAACACGGCAGAGAAATGAAGATCTCTAGTAGTTTGCTAAGTTTGGTGGTTACTACTACACGGTGATCGATTGCTACTGGCATATGGCTGTATCAAGTTATATATAATTCACTAACTCCAAGCATAAAAGCAAACCACTGAATTTGGTAGATTCTGGTAAGAGAAAGGAAGCCCCAGAGTCGAACTGATTCTGAGTATTTGATGTAAGGATATGTCCCAAAGAATGATGCTCATAGATCTTGATCCACTACCACATGTGCATCTGCATTGAATCTGAACAAACCTGCCAAATCATGCTCGGCAAGCTCCATCATGGTGTTGCGGATATGCATGACAGATATTGCTACTGCAAACGAATTCCAGACGTCTTGACCCTGTTCACTGAAGTCGAGTTGGCAAATGAAGTGGCTGTCTTCAGTTCGCCGTTGACCATTTGCGGCGGAAGGGTCGGTGTTCAGGGTTAAGATTGCGACCACTGGACCGCTGATAACAAAGCCTGTAAGAAGAGGTGGCCTATTCTGTGCTTTTGCTTCTGAGCCAGTAGCACTCTTCTTCTTAGCCATATTGAGAGGTGCTACAAGCTCTTTCGTAGCGGATGCAAGGCCATAGGCCCTTCGAAACCGATCCGCCAGCTTTTGTAGACGTCGGTTCACTTTCACCACAGCCTTGACGGTACTTTCTCCTCTCTTTCTGGCGCCTATTGCATACAAGGGTATAGCTTCTGAGCTGATATGTAGACCTGCATCGTACACAGCCCAGCGAATGTACTTGCTAATTGCCCGTTTTATGATGGGCTCAGGTCGACGATGCACCAGCTTGCAGTCTCTCACATGACCGCCGAGAGAGAATAAAACGGAAAGCGACCTGATTGCTGCAACATCTTCAGCGGACTATCAAGGCAAATTGCATGGCTGAGGCCCAACTTACCGTAGAATTCCGAGCCTCTGATTGCATTGATCAACGGCGCCGGTTTCTCCCCAGGAACAGCGAACAGAGGATTCGGGAGTGTGGAGAAGTCGTAATGCCACTGCTTCGGAACCAAAGGTTCGAAACCTCTCATGGCGATTCGATAGAAAAGCTGTTTCTCCACTTCGCTCCAGAGATCCTTGGGCACATTGACAGCATTTGCCCAGCGCTTCGCTCTTTCCAGGGACAGATCTGGCACAGAATGATCTTCCTGCATCGTTGGAGTATCGACTACTCGCGCGGTAGAGTCCGAATGTCTGGCAACGGCGTCAGAGGTTTTGTGTCTTTTCCTTGAGGAGTCTAATTTGCCCTGGGTATGAGGCCCGTCATTTGTATAATCTGCCAAGCTGGCCGCATAACTTTTTCGAGAGCGTTGATGAGCTTTGACGAGCGCGAAGAATGCTCTGTTTCTATCATCTGCAATATTGTTGAGTACCTTCATCGCTTTCAACACTAAGGGGTGGTTTGGCTGTGTTCTGGCGTTTACAAGCTCCCACGGATTTTTTACGACCACATCTCCGTCAGAGTTATCAGACTGAGGATCCGTGAGAGCCGGAGAAACTGGGACTGTTGGAGGTGGTGTGGGTTCAGTCTTCATCATTTTCGCGGGTCGAGGTGTGTCTTTGCTAGGAGTAGGTAGATTCCCAGCTCCAATATCAGAGGTCGCTTTCCTTTTCGAGGTTCGTTTGTTTATAGCCCTGCCCTTGCCCCTCTTTGACGAATCCAGAAATATGTCCTGGTCTTCGTCGTCTTTGTCAGGAACGAAGGCAGAATCCAAAGTTCTTCTCTTCTTGCGCTGTAAGCGCGTTGGAAGTTGTTCATCGTCGCCATCTTCACCACCGTCATCCTTGCCGGGAATATACGTTGGGTCGAGAGCTCGTTTCCTCCGATCATTTTTGGGGATCTTTAGGGAGGACTGATCGTCTTCATCCGGGTCCTCGTCATCTTTATTCGGATCATACAAAGGGTCCAAATCGCGGCTCTTGTTCGCTATGCCGCTTGTAGTGTCTCCGGTGCCTGTCATGTCAGACGGACTCATCAAGCCGTCGTTAAGGCTCTCCTCATCATCAACGTTTTTCGTGTATGTAACTCGTTTCCTTCGAATTCTGGAGATTGCGGCGTATTCAGACATCTTCGTGGCTTGCTTTGCTGGTTTAGTAACTGTAGCTCCTGTCGTTGTGTCCTCTGGTGGTAGGGTGTAGCTCACATTCGTCTTACTCCAGGGTGCAATAGTCTCAGCTCCGTATTCGTAATGGCTTATCTGCTGAGGGGTCAAAGTTCTATTCGCATCAAAATCACTGATAGCCTCAAGTGATTTGCAAGAGGATGGGAAATATTCTGAAAAGTCCCAGAGGTACGAGTCCTTGCCGGGAAAGAGTGACTCGAGGGCGAGGGTGGTGGAGACGGACGATTATGTCCATCTTCCACTCGCCCTCGAAGAGGGCACAAGACACTAGAATCGCTACCATCTGAAAGAACGAGTGCATTCGGCAGTGCCATGGTAGGATAAAAACAAGAATGGAAGATAATTCTATCTTTAGTGTCCGCAAGGTTCCTTTCTTTGTTTAATTCGAGAAAGTGTGTTGACAGACAAAGAACATCGAGGACGCCAATGTCAAAGATTAAGTCTAAAAGATAAAGAGAAAGAACCGAGTCTCCGAGTCAAACTCTACCAGTGATCATCTTTGCAATTTGGTGTCAGTATATGTGTTGCATCCAGGCCATTATCGAGGGTCGCATGGAATATGGCTGTGCGCATGGAGCAACACAAAGAGACTTGAAACGCGAAGCTCCTGACGAGATGAAACAAGGGAAGTATAAGCTGATAGTGTTATGCATACGCTTCCATATTCCAGGAGACAACACTGCCGGGAAGTCCTGAAGCGCGGTGAATGTTAATGCACCTCCACGAGACCCTGCTTTGTATTGCCTCTCAACCGTCGTCTAAGGAACAGTACCTCGCTCAAATCAAATGGTAGTGTTGAGCAACAATCATAGAACGGCGAGCACTGCATAGTCACATCTCAGAAGTGGTAAACTAGAATTCTTGTGGATTAAAGCGATTAGCCCTAAATATTTTTTTAAAACGAATGAGGAAGACAGAGACCCCGGGACCAAGCCGTATATTCGATCCGCGCTCATCAAGGCCGTAAAAGTGCGCACACCAGCTCTGAAAACTCTCATGGGTATGTTAAGAAAAATCTCCAATGCAAAAACAAAGTGCTCTCGGCGACCAGCGATTGGTCAAGAAGTCAAAAAGCAAGGGTTCCAAAGATCTGGTTGGACGAATGAGCAACGAAGGCAATGTCACGATGATTCTCAATCAATACCGAGTAACTTAAGCGAAGTCCGCAGTGTACGAGAAGCCGCGGAACTCCTCCTGCATAGCTTGGGAGAGGACTAAAAATGACATCGTTAGCCTTGAAACAGCCAATACCTACGAGTGATATCTTACCTGACTGCACGGGCGTGAGGACGGGGGTCACACTCGTGAACTCCTGATCGAAGTTGCTTGTATCCGTAGGACTGCTGATCGTCGGCAGGAACGGTGGAGGAACACGTTTGTGGTAGATATCGTCCCAGTTGATGTTCCTGAAGAAGGCATGGGACATGACTTCTTGAGCGTCTGTGGGCCCAGATCCCAACCTCAGCTCAGGTTCACGGGTGAGCAATTTTTGTAGAATAGAGACAGAGTCCCGAGGCATGTGGATTGGATAGAGAGGCTCATCGGCGAGAATTGCATCGTAGATTTCATCTTCGTCTTCACCACGGAAAGGCGACTGTTGCAGGAGCATTTGATAAATCAGGACACCAAATGCCCACCAATCGACCGCTCGGCCATACTTTTTGTCCAGCAGAATCTGTAAAAGCGTTAATTGACGATGCAAAGACTTGAATGCGAATAATCTCACCTCAGGTGCCATGAACTCGGGAGTTCCACAGAATGTGCTTGTTGTGCTTCCATACCACATATTCTCCTTGCAGAGACCGTAATCGGCAATCTTGATGTGTCCATCTAAAGTCAGAAGGATATTGTCCAGCTTCAAGTCACGGTAAATAACACCGTTTTCATGGAAGTATTTGAGAGCCAGCAGAACTTCGGCAGCGTAAAACCTGTGAAGTGCGCAGTTAGTTTTCCTGAAGTTTCCGGATACGTGCGGTTCTATGTGCTCAACTTACTGTGCTCTTTTCAGCCCAAACTGACCGCGTTGAATATGAAGCATCAGATCACCACCGCTGATGTATTCCATAACAAAGTACACACGAGTTTCTGTCTGGAAACAGGCGTGAAGGTTGAGAAGAAACGGATGGCGTTCCTTGTTGGCGATCAGGAAGACACGCTTTTCGGATTTAGTACTCTCCACTTCATCATTCTCAATGATGAACTCCTTCTTCAGCACCTTGATGGCGTAAAGCTTCTTGGTGCTTTTTGTCTCTGCTAGCATGACCTTTCCAAAGTTACCCTTACCGAGAACGGCTAGGAAGTTGAAATGATCCAGTCCAATTCTAACTTTCGGCTGCTGAGGAGGAATTTCCTCCTTTACGGCGACTTGTTGCTGCATTGGCGCAACGGCTTGCTGCTGCTGCTGCTGCTGTTGAGGCATGCCATAGGGTGCACCCATCTTTTGCATTGCTTGAGGGGGGATGGCTTGCTGGTAGGATGCATACGCGGCAGGGTCATAGTGGGCGTGCGAGGACGGCGGTGGTTGCACTGGACGGTTAGGATCTAGAGGTACGGTAAGCAAGGGCACATGTTGCGCACTGAGTGGTGCAAGGGAAATTGATCGAGCGTACCTGAAACTTGCTGGGGCGTACGCAGTCCTGTGGCTGCTGCGGCGGCGGCAGCTGCGGCAGCGGGGCTTTGCGAGGAAGAAGTTCGCGGAGGCAGGTGCTGACGCTGAGCCGCTGTGGGTGACTGTGGAGGAATATAAGTGTTGGTTGCGGCGCTGATAGCCTCGGCCGATGGCTGTCTCTGAGGGGCACCGTAGGCACCCTCAACTGGCTTTTGCGGATAGGCGAGAGCAGCACTATCTTGAGGGGCCTGGGGCGGACCGCCTGGTCGAAGGGTACGTCCACTCAGACCGGAACTGACAGAGGCTGATTTATTATGGTTCTTCGCTCGAATGAGAGTTTCCAAGATCTGGTTGGCTGCTTCCATCGACATGCCACAGAAGTCAGGAACAAGATGGGTACATTGAGCATGGCAAGTAAGACCACATTCTGCACGGGAATCGCAAATATACGTCAGATCCGGTATTGAAAAATGTCCTAGTGCCTTAAGGAAAACATACCTGTACAGCGCTTAGCGCTCTTTCGTCCGAAAGGAAGCAGGTATCCGCAGTGACAACACCAATTGGCCGAGATGTTGGAGAATCCCTCGAAGCGATGCGGAATACGGTGGTTGATCTTCTCTTCGTCGGGGTCCGTTTCGTAGTTGGCCTTGCTGATACACTTGGTGACGACCTTTGGATAGCACTTTCGGTGACAGGTATATTTACAGTCGGCACACTGCATGCCGGCAGCATATTTCAAGAAATCACCACAAAGTGCACAGCGCATGATGTTGTAGAATTGCTGAGTGACAAATTTGTGACCCTGCTTCTCGTGAACCTCCTCCTTCTTTTGTCGGACGGCACCTTGACGGTTGAGACCGATATCGAAGGGGCGGCGATCCTTCAATTGCTTGGCTATAGAAATATGTCAGTGAGCTGATGTAGTGAAAAATGTGGTATACAGGTACTCACCGAAGCTCAGCGTCAGGTGGATACGACCGACTGGCTCCAACGCGAACCAACTGTCGATCAGGACCGGGCCTGCGGAAGGGCCGCCGGGAGCACCACCAGCATATCCTTGACCTGGACCGCCAGGGTGACCCCCAGAGGGTGGTCGATTGGACGAGCCCGGCGCTCCGCCAGCGTCCTGCCTGCCATGTGCGCCCCCGTGCTCCATCTTGTCTGCGGAGACCCAGCCCGATGCGTTAAACTCTGACTCGATCTTCTTGCGGCGCATTTCTTCGGCGATGTCAGATATGCGGACCCAGAGCATGCCAATAGGGGTGGGCCGATCGCCCGACTTGTCGTATACGGTAAGTTCAATTTCATTGGCTTTGTCAATTTCAATGCTAAACGCCTCATCTTGCCATTTGTCGGTTCTGGTAGCTTTCGTTCTCGCTTTGATGGCATCTTCTACTTTGACAACGACAAAAGTCTCGGGACCTCTGGAGAACCTTGAGCTGGCAGCATGATCGACATCCTTTACAGCATGAATACGCAATGTTAATAGACCTGTCAACGGCTTGCGCATGTTTGGTGTGCTCAAACTTTCGTCTGCTCAAATCAAGTCAGTAACTGCAGATTGCGAAGACCAGGTAACAAGCAGTGACTCGCAGCATACCGTCAGGTGCTTCGGCGGATTCAATATCCACATGAAGGTCCTCGTATCGTTTAAGAGCCTGCTTGAGCAGCTGAATCTTCTGATTACTCTCAATTCGCCTCCCCTCGGCGTCCTGTCGGCTTTTTCTATCGCCCTCATCTTGATATAGACGGACCATCTTCTCGATACCGGCCTTGTATTGCTTCTCAACACTCAATTTAAATTCCAGTTGAGATAACATGAGCTGAATCTTCGGTCCAAGATAAGGAGTGTCGTACTTAATCAGATCTATAAGCAATCGCTCCCAAGTCAGTAGACGATCTCACGCGACCTCCGCGAAAAACACCTCAAACAAGCTAGAACATCGCTCCGCACATCAAACAAGTAGTAGAACCTACCAAGTTTAGTGTAATTCGGCCGGGCCTTGGGAACGGGAGCAAAGGGACGAGGATCCGCAAAGGGCGCTCCAGATGGCATGGTCCCTGCCCCTCCATGCGGATAAGCACCCGAAGCATCCCCATACTCCCTCTCGTGACCAGGATAGCCTGATGCGTGATCTTTCGGAGGAGGAACTGGGCCCGACCCATCAGGATTCGGAGGAAGACGTTTGTCTGTGGGGGAGGCCCCTTCCTGCTTCATCTGTCGGAGCTGCAACTCTCGCATCTTCTCTTCGAGGTAGGCGATGTTTTTCCGACCATCGCGAATATTCGCATCGACTCTCTGCTGCACGAGCGGGTTATCGGTCGACTGCCGCATGTTCGACGCGGCAGTGATGAGAGCCTTTTCCCGCTCGATCTTGCGGTAGACCGAGGCAATAAGGTCGTCCCCGTCCATGGTGGCAAGGTGGTCCGAAGACGAGAAAGTCGTATTTTCTCAAGAGACTTCGAACCTAGTCACACGATCGAAAATTAGTATCAAACCGGGGAAACGATCGAATGGAAGAGGTGAGGATATATGGATGGGATGATAGAACCGTCGCGGGGTTCTTGTTGACAGTTGCAAAGGAGGGGGGGCAGTCGATCGCAACGAGGGCGGACTAACAGTAGTCAATAATACTCACAAAGATATGCCACTCGGGATACGTGAATCAATGCCCAGCTCGATGACAAAATCACTTTCTTTCTTCTTCTCCAATCAACCAGAAGAAAGATCAGAAGATGATGAAGTGAAACAGCCCGGCTCCTGGATCGACAGCCAGGGGAAAGTAAGATTGATTTTCTTGGGATGGTTTTTTTCGCCCTCTTTAGGCCGATGAACTGGGCTGTGCTTGAGTCCTGGCCAGACTCGGATTCGTGGGAAGTCTGGCTTGACCGCCCGCCAGCAAAATAATAATAGGGAATAATATTCCTAGTATTCTGGTTGGGTATTCCGAACTGTTGAGGCTACCTACCTGAGTACCTGTATACGTGAATAATTGATGTTTCTCTGCTGGAATTGGGCTGGCAGCTGCGATGAGACCGCAAGGGATTGAAATAGGCCTCAATTTCGACACGGGGGCAACAACCAGTTGGATTATACTATTGTGAGGAGGCGGCAAGGGAGGAAATGACAGGCTGATCTGGTTGTAGCATATAAAGTGAGATCTTCGAAGAGTCCTTGAGGAGGTAGAAACGATTTCAGGATCAAGATCATGGGGCGTGCCTAGATAGCTTGGCTGATGCCAGGGCACGAACAGCTTGATATAGAAGTCTCCGAATGTACATACGAATACAAAGAGTGCTGAATCAGGAGGACATTTCTAGTGACTTATCGACAGGAGTCGAATCTAAGATACGTACGAGATATTTATTTTCAAGGGGTCTAATCTGTTCTCTGTGAAATATCCCCAAAGCACCATCCAGCCAGATACCTTGTGGTGACCTGACTTGTCCCTAGTCATTCATAGACCTTCGAGCATGTCCCCAACAGTCATGTGGCTCCTCTGTGCGGCCTGTATCTTGCAGTAAGCTAAGTTAAGCCATCTGTGCATGCTTCGTCACACATGATCTCCTGTGGACTTAATAGCTCACCCGGGGATGGGCGGCGTACGAGTTCTTAAAGGTACATTCCTGGGCCAGATCGAGAGAAGCGAGGAATGTCACCCAGAACAAGGGAGACGACAAGTAGGCAAACAGAAAGATCCAGTTTGCAGCGGGAAGCTGACACAACAAGCACGGGCGATGAGAGGCTCTTCTGACAAGATCATGTTTGCCTCTTGTACGTCATGTCAGAAAGGAATACTGCTCCTTCCCAGCAATGGACTGTTGCTTGGGCGATCCTGATTCATATCTCATATCTCATATCGAGTCTGAGAAAGACAGAATACGCTGGAAACTGATCACCGGAAATACTATCCACTGGCGTTTTGGAGGCTGAGAATTCGGATGCGCAGCTGCGAAAAAGTTTCCATGCATCATTAGAGGTAGATTCGCTTGAAGTAACGGTCCTCCAGTAACACCATAAAACTCAGCATAACCCATTCCCTCATTAGTTTGGCGATCCAAGCAAGCTTATTCGGATCTCTTCGAGACCTTAGGCATTAAGGCCCAACCCACAAGCATCACACCATATAACCCAATGCAGATTGGGTGAAGAACATATGTTCCCACACTCTGCGCCAGCAAGCCCGTGAAGAACGGCGCAACGGCACCACCGCTACTTCCCATAGCGCTGATAAAGCTCAAGCTAGAAATCTGAATATTTCTGGGAAGCAACTTGCTGAAGACTGCTGTAGCACAGGGGTAGACGGGCCCCAGCAGCAATCCCACAATAGCCACAGAAACGGCGTCCCCGATGACATTTGGAATAAGCCACGTCATAAGCTGGAAAGCAGCAGATCCTACAACCAGCAATATGACTGCAAGCTTTTCCCCAGCCATATGCGCCGGATGCGAGAGCACAAAGCGTCCAAGGGTAATGCCCGCCCAAAACCCGGCGCTGACATAGCCGACATGGGAGGGATCTCCTTTACGATAGCTGATCAGGAACGAGACAACCCAGCCTGAGATAGAAACCTCTGCACCCTGATATGCAAAGATGAAAAGAGCCCCGAGTAACGTCGTTTTGTTCTGGACTGCTTGCTTCAATAGTTGCTTTTTGCTTGCCACATTATGACGATGCTCCTGCTGTGAAGCCGTCTGCTGAAGCGCGGTGAGAAGTTGAGTGGGCAGCTCTTTTTCATAACCGCGGAAGGTCCACATTGCAAACGCTAGGTTGAACACTGCTAGTGCGAGGTTGATGGAGTAGTAGACGGACCACTGGACACCGTCGGATACCATGGCCGTCGCTATTAGCGGTCCCATAATCCCCCCAATGCCGTAGCTACCGTGCATGGCGCCGAGAGAAGTCGTACTGTTCGCTAGGTTCGCACAGAAAACGTTGTTCAAGGCCAAATTCAGCGCGATTCCGAATCCCAGCAGAAAGAAACTGGCCACAATGGCTGGAAATGGCGGTTTGAAGAGAATGATCACATATCCCGCAACCAACAAACTCATTGATAAGGCGTAAGATTTCGAGCGCCCGAGTTTTGCCTCAAAGAATTGTGTGACTGGCGCAGCAAGAATGAACCCCAGCGCATTAGTCACAAAAATCAGAGAGACGACTGCGTAACCGATATTGTAGTCTTTCTCAATGTACGGAATCAGAGCACCCGGGCCGCTGTCATTCAAGCCATTGGCCACATTCATCATACAAGCACTCAATAGTCGCCATCTTGTTGTCGCAGATGAGGTGGGATTCGGCAGTGGATCGATAGCATCGATAGCATCGATGGCACCGTCTTCTGCAGGTGAGCCCGGAAGGCTCTCCAACTCGCTGGGGGTGACGGGTGTGATAGGCATATGAACTCCGGTGCTTGGCCCAGATGCAGGAGACTGGCGACGTTCGCGCATATGATCTAGCTCATATTCGGAGGGAGTGCGAGCGATACCCTGCTGATCTTTTCGCACCACGGCCGCAGGGTTAGCAATCGGTGAGGCGCTCTCAAACCGCACCACGGCTCCAAAGGCTGGAGTAGACATGGCGAGAGTGTGTTATCCTAGTCCAGCTATATCAGGAAAGAAATATCTGAATGCAGCTGGAGAAGTCGAACGATTCCCGTTCAAAAAGCGCGTGAGAAAAAAGATTCGTAGAAGCCCATGAGGTGCCACATCAGCATTTATAATCATGTTTGGAAAATGAGTTCCGATGACGACCAGCTGACTCAAGGTGAAATATCTTCACGATAGGTGTGCTAAGATCCTCGAGGTTCCAGAACACGACGGGGAGCCATTTAATGCATTGTCAGCTGGCCGTCTTTTACCATCTTTCCAATCGCTAGGGGATACATGATCCACAATGGATACGCTGTCAGTCCTGTATGGACGAAGAACTATTCATGTTCCAATCATCATGGTCGTCGGGGAGCTTGCGAAAGGTGCGGGATGGAGGGGAAGGTACCTCAGATATAGCTCCACAGTAGTCTATCCCCGCCACAGTGAAGTTTTTTTTTTTTCTTTCTTTTATCTTGTATTTCATCTGTTTGTCATCTTCACCATTTTGACAAACAATGAACAGCTGTCAAAATTTTGTGACTGAGCTTTGACAGCCATTGGTCTCGACACTGAACCGAATATACAGAGTGAAGTCAAAGTAAAGTTCTTGCTTCTGTCATCAAATTTTGCTCGCTCAGAAGCCATGGGTCCTCCAAGAAGAAAGGTGCTTGCTACTGCTGAAGAGACGTTGTTCCCACCTGATGAGCTTGCGCAAGGACAACTAATTGGCCGAGTCATTAAAGCCACTGGGAACAATGTCTACCTGGTCGAATATCCTTCAAAAACCAGAGTGTTGGTAGAATTGCCTGCCCGGTTCCGATCCACGATCTGGATCAAGCGGGGTTCCTATGTCGTGGTAGACACGAATGCCTTAGAGAATAGAGACAATAAGCTCGGTGGAGAAATTATCAACATCGTCAGGGATGAAAAGGCCTGGCGCAAAGCTCCTTTTTGGTCAGTCTGATGCTACTATGAAGGCGGGACATCCTGTCGTCTATGAGAATGCTGACAGTCCCCATAGGCCAAAAGAGTTCGTCAAACAACCAACTGCCGTGGAATCATCTGATGAGGAAAACGAATCGAATGTGGGCAAGATGCCTTCATCAGACGAGTCGGATGCGTGATTTAACCCTCCGAAGCCTCTTCCAAACGACTCGCCTTCAGCTCAGCCATTGCCTGGCCCCCTGGCAGGGAATGGTTTACTTCTTGATCTACTGATCATCAACAAAAGTTCGGGAAAGCAGGGAAACTAGGGATGTTTGCAGCAGCTCCCTTGTAAGAGGGCTGCATGTCAGGTTCATTGCAAATGTTCTTTCTGGCTACTCTGCTCCAGATGCTTGCGACTGAACGAGACGCCGAGCACACCAAATACTTGAGCAGCGAGTGAGAGGATCACAACTAGAGAACTCGCGTTGGTACTAGGATATGTGTTCCAAGCCCACTCTTGCGCCACCCACACGACGTACACGAGGATCGGATGGAAGCCCGCCTGCCAAAGAAGGAAGGGTGTCGCGCAAGCAAGATAAGCAAAGAATTGGTAATGCAGCGATCTCGCGCACAGCAGACCAATCGCAAGTGAGGACAGCATTGCCGTCATTATGAAAGACTTGGAAAGGGAGACTGTGCGGTAACGTCTTTGGATAAACCGTTGCAGGAAGCTTGGCAGGTCTAATCCAGACGGCTTCAACCATACTGTGGCAACAAACAGACCCAACAGCAAAATGTGCAATGCCAATAGGGCCAGGGAAAACTTCCGCGATAGAAATAGTTCTTCTCCAACGAACCTCCAATTGACAGTCCACTTGAACATGAATTGTCTGGTCAGCTCAAAGGCTCGCGAAACATATCCCGCCGGGTTGTTTTGCAGAAATGGTATCCCAAGTAGGACCTACCCGCCGTGTTAGCCATTCTCTTTCGAGCACAAGACACTTGCATTACCTGGATGAGCACCGCAAGGAATCCTAGTTGAATACTTGGTCCAAGAGATAAGCTAAGCACGAGCACCACTGCGATAGCAGGAGCCAGAAGCAGCAGCGTCATCTTGATGGCAACGCCTGTAGACCATACAATGACTCCAGCAGTCCACTTCTTGTTCATGAAGAAGAGGATAGTAACCCACATAGCAAAAGCCGCAAATCCATCGTTGAATAAGCGCAGCATGAAAACGCTATGGAGCCGCTTGGAGAGCACAAGGGGTACTAGCAGATACGGAGGGGCTGCGGCCTGTTTGTAACAGGTCATAGCGACAGTCAATGTAGCGAGATATAGAATGGCGAACAGAATTTGTCCGAGGAAGATGTCTCGTCCTTCATCCGTAAGGTGGTATAGGACGTTGTAAATGTACACATGTGCGGCGGGATACACCAGAGGCCCCGTAGACCCTTTGATCAAGGTGTAGTCGCGCTCACCGGTGATATAGAGTGAGATTTGTTGCATGTAGGTCGTCCAATCGATCTCAGTATCTGCATCCAAGCACTCAGAGTTAGGTTCATGTTGCTCGGTATTGTTCCTGATATTCTAGAACATAATGCTTAACTCACATGGGACCTTCCAGATGATTAGTGCGCAAAGGACGGCATCGCCCAGAATAAGTAGAGCAGCAACCCATCTTGTATGTCTAGGGTTCATACAAAAATCGCGCAGAGTGTGCTTCAAGTCCATTGTAGATAGCGGTGGTGTACGAAGCTGCATTGTTGTCGCAGGTGGCCTGAGTGTGCGGAGCCAATGACATTCGCCATTTTCCGGCTTAGCTCCGAACACAATGGGCAGCGTGGGAAAGCCATTGAAATCGCTATCAGCAGATCCAACCATTGAGCTGGAGGGAAAATAAGACAGTAAAGTCCATAAGGTGTCATTCATTCAATTCAAAGGTATATCAACATAAAGCAGATATAAGTGCTAATATCTACACTATCTGTACATGGGTATAGCAGGCAATTGTGTCTTTTTGTGGGACAAAAAGTAAGGCACGCCCGGCCGGGATCAATGCGCTTTACCTATCGTGGTGTCACATAGGATCAACAAGTCCATTGCGGACCAAGCCGTAATATCAGCCTCCTTGGTTTGGGGAGGCCACCGGCTCAGTCCTGAAAGTCGGCTGTTTCTGCTTCCCCTCAGCAGTCGGAAATCCTAACAATTGGCCCAAGACGCCCTTGGGCTTAGGAACAGGGCATTCCCTCCCTGTATTAGCCAGGCGTTCTGCTTCCTCTTCCATTTGTAAGAATGTCGACACCTCCTCGTCTGAAGATTGGGGCCTTGTTTGGTGTATTGACGTCCCATCGTGTTCGAGCATGTTTGGGTCTTTCCTCCTCTTCCTTCGAATTCTCTGTATCTGTTGTCCATCGGCGGTCACAATCATTTCGGAATCAGCCAGCGTACGACGTGGAGCGGGACATGGAAAGACGTGCGGCATGCCAACGACAAAGAGCGATGCGAGGAGTGTCGCTGCAAAGAGCGACATGGTCGATCGCGACCGCGGATGTAGATGAGGGGGCATTTCGGATGTGATTCAAAAGAAGCGATTGATACCACAATCGTCGCTATGACATTGACATGGAGGGATCGTGGTGCTAAGAGCTGACACGTATGGACTCATTAGCAACGAGCGGGGGTTCTTCATGCGGGACGAACAGCTCACCTTATCGTTGCTCAGTTTAAATTGTTGAATCAACACTTAGAAAGGTAGAGATGTCCCAAGAAAGACATGGCTCTCTCCAATGGGCAGCGTGGCTGAAGCGCGAGACGCCGAAATGCAACAGTCGGAGCAGCGGACGAAGAGTGCGAATTGAGTTGGATTCGACCTTTGCTCTTGGCGGTCAGGATCTTATCTTATCAATCTAAATTGTGATTGGTCCAAAGTGCTCAGTCATGGGAAGTTGTCAACGCGCCACAGGACTTTGCTGTTGCTGTTGCTGCAGGGCCCCCCTTCGTCTGGAGTGCAAACCACTTGCATCCACCCCTGTTTCTTTCGCTCGTCGTATGGGTTACGAAGAAAATGACTGTTGATTTTTCCTGCACATAGCGCTTCTGTTTTTGTTCTTTGCTCCCCTGGTTTCCCAGGCTTGGCTAAGTCGATTTTTCCGTGACCTCCCTCGGCTCTAGGACGACCCACCGATTGGTCACCAGCCACTCCGACTTGATCATCCCTTCCATTCTTTTCCTCCAGTTCGAAATACTATGAGTGATCTAGACAGGTAATACTAAAGAATTTTGCTTGCCATGAATCCTCAAGGCCCTCACTGACTTCGGTTGCTTTCATCAGGGCGATCGCGCAGCTTCGCGCTTGCCGTTTGATCCCCGAGTCCCAAGTCCGCGAACTCTGCTACAAAGCTCGAGAGATCTTGATAGAAGAAGGGAACGTTGTTTCTGTGGATGCTCCGGTCACAATATGCGGAGATATACATGGCCAGTTCCACGATCTGATGGAACTGTTCCGCGTCGGAGGCGATGTTCCCGACACCAACTATCTCTTCATGGGAGACTTCGTCGATCGCGGGTTCTATTCTCTCGAGTCATTCCTCCTTCTCCTCTGTCTCAAAGTTCGCTACCCTGATCGCATCACCTTGATTCGCGGAAATCACGAGTCTCGCCAGATCACAACTGTCTACGGCTTCTACGACGAATGCATTCGAAAGTACGGCAGCGCCAATGTGTGGCGGTATTGCTGCGAGGTGTTTGATTACCTGGCGCTGGGCGCACTCGTGCTTGGGGCCAGCTCAGAACTGGAACCAACTGGCTCAACGATGAATGACACCACCCAGTCCACGATGCCGATTGATGACGCGGAATTGGAGACGGAAGTACTCAACTCGAGAGGAGAGGTCACGATGAGCACCTACAGACGGCGACAACGATCTTCTTCAGACGCATCAACTGATTCCAGAAACCTCTCCCCACCACGGGATATCTCCGCTGTGCCTGGCCAGGCTCCCGCCCGATCCGGCGCACCGGGTACTGGGGCTTCGGGCAACGGAGCCGGCAGCAACACC